TCGTCAGTATTTCTCTCCTCAATGGGTCTCTTTTGACCAGTTATGCACCATTCTGTAGAAGAGGCTTTAACTTAGGTATACGGTATTGATCGAACCACCTATCGCTCTTTGTTACTGTAGAATTACGATAAGAACTTCCAACATGCGACCATTGTGAAATATGCCATCTGACAACTTTTTCAAAACATTTGAAAAATTGCGAAGTAAGGTTTTCGCGCACACTGATTCCACTACACAACTTTCCACGAGTCTACGAGTGTTTTCAGCTTTTTTGACGGTGTAGACACATTTTTGACAAATTTTGGGATTTTGGTAATTATGGTCTACCTGGGATAACTTTGGAAAGAAGCATCACAGTAAACTGGAAATTTCATATTTGAAATCAGTGGATTACATTACCATAGTATAAGAGTTTTGGTTTGTTTGCTTTTGTTCCGAGGAAATAATATGGCTTTCAATGGCCTAAAATCCTTGTCAAAGTCCCTACAGTAATCCTACAGTAATGAAGAGTGATCGGTAATTCGCTCGATACTGTAAATCTAAGTTGAAGTTCCTTCTCTGCAGAATGTTAATTGAATGGCGGAAAAAGACACAATGGGAAGAGAGATATTAACGATTGAAAAGTGTGTACTTACTTTTGCGACACCCTGTATATATTAGGTGGGTGCAAAAGTTCTGTCGTTTCATTTTCAAAAATTTGTAACTTCGCCAGATTTCAACGGATTTGCTTGCTTGTAATTTTATTAGAAAGATTAGGTCTTCCGCTTTCAACAGCTGTTTTGTAGAGCTTCTGTTTCACACTGATTGCCGAGATAAAAATGGAAAACTAAGACCATGTCAACTTTGACCATTTAAGTTAGGTCACCAAAAATCTGGAATGCTGCAGAAAAATTTGAAATCGTCAGTACATATGTTTTTTGGCCTACTCTTTACAATTGTGAAGAGATTGTGCTATTTGGACGTCTCTGTGAGAAGTTATGATTTTCGCGAAAATTCACAAATTAATTGATTTCGGCGTTTTCCATGGTAAACTCGATATTCATAACTTCTCATGGAGACGTTCAAACAGCACAAACTCTTCACATTTGCAAAGAGTAAACCAAAAAACATATGTACTGACGATTTCAGATTTTTCTGCAGCATTCCAGATTTTTGGTGACCTAACTTAAAATGGTCAAAGTTTACATGGTCTTAGTTTTCCATTTTTATCTCGGCACTCAGTGTGAAACAGAAGCTCCACAAAACAGCGATTGAAAGCGGAAGACATAATCTTTCTAACAAAATTACAAGCAAGCAAATCCGTTGAAATCTGGCAAAGTTACAAATTTTTGAAAATGAAACGACAGAACTTTTGCACCCACCTAATATATACAAGTATATATAGTTATATATATTAGATCGTCCCGAAAGTATTTTCGCTTTTTTCAAACGGTTGCCACAATCGATGGAACAAACCTTTCTAAGAGATCTTGGTAGCGTTCGATGCAGAATTTCATTCTCTTTCTAGCGATTGCAAAACTGTTGCAAAACAATTAATCAGCTTTCAGAAAATAACCAAAATCTGTGACCCATGCTTTTTGAGATGGTCAAGTTTCACGATTTTTTAAAACTTTCATATCAATCCTCAGAAGGAGTTCAAGTAGCGATTCGATAGAGTAAACCTCGTAAAATGCAGCACTTCTTTTTTCTCTTTCTCGTAGCTCGCCGTAATTTTTTAAAAGATTTTTAACAAAGCCATCGGATTTTGGCAGTCCCACCTCAGCAACAATCGCATCAAACATCAGTAGTTACTCGGAATTTCAAGCTTTCAAGATGGTTTTTGACTTAATATTGGTTTTACAATGCAAGTGAGAGTTTACGGGTTCGAAATATCAAATTTGTAGCTTTCCGGGTACAGCCTGGGGGCTCCCTAAAAAATGAATTGTGGTGATTTTATCCCCGAAAACTAAACGAATCGGAAACAAAAAACACCCATTAGAAAGAGGAGAAGATGCTGCATCAAACAGCACCCGAGCTGCTCTTTCTTTGATGTTCTACAAGGATTTAGCTGTCCAAGTGTGGAAATCGGTAGCATCAGTTGAAATTCTATTAAAAATGTATGACAAGCTATGGAAAAGAGAAAGAAGTTGCACTGTATTCTATGAGGTTTACTCTGTCGAATCGTTACTTGAACTTCTTCTGAGGATTGATATGAAAGTTTCAAAAATTCGTGAAACATGACCATCTCAAAAAGCATGGGTCGCAGACTTTGGTTATTTTCTGAAAGCTTATTGACTGTTGTGCAACAGTTTTATAAACATTAGAGACAGAATGAAATTCTGCATCGAACGCTACCAAGATCTCTTAGAAGGGTTTGTTCCATCGATTGTGGCAACCGTTTGAAAAAAGCGAAAATACTTTCGGGACGACCTAATATAACTAGTTATATACAGGGTGTCCGTAAAGTATGTATACACTGTTTGATCGCCAATATCTTTCTTCCCAACGAGTCTTTTGCCTTGCTTCAGGTACCGTTTTGTAGAGCAGGCTTCAACTTAGATTTGCAATATGGAGCAATTCACCGATCGCTCTTCATTACTGTAGGATTACGGTAGAAACTTGAAACATATGGTGTCAATATGGAAAAATGCTGCTGTCTCAAAATTTTTCAAAAAAATGTGAAAACTTGTGTAACAGGGTTTTAATGGACGCTGAGTTCAATAGTCAACTACTCGCAAGATTGCGAAGCTTTCTAAACGGTGTAAGCGCACTTTTTAGGAACATTGAAAAAATGGCCGCTACCTCTTACCCGGCATAACTCTTCAATGAAGCATCATAACAAGTTGGAAACTTTACGGTTAGAATCAACAACTCAATTAGCCTAGTGTAAAAGCTTTTAGGCTGTTTTGTTTTCTTTGTGAGACAAAATATGGCCTTTCATGGCTCAAAACCCTCTTCGAAGTTTCTACCGTAATCCTACAGTAATGAAGAGAGATGGGTGATTCGTTTTATACCGCAAATCTAACTTGAAGCCAGCTCTACAAAATGGTACCTAAGCAAGGCAAAAGACTTCTTGGGAAGAGACATATTTACGATCAAACAGTGTATACATACTTTACGTACATCCCGTATATTAGTTATATATAGTTATATGTATAACTAGATATATATAACTATATATAGCTATATATATAACTATATATAGTTATATATATAACTAGTTATATATATAACTATATATATAACTATATATAGTTATATATATAACTAGTTATATATATAACTATATATTGTTATATATATAACTACCCGTAGTTATATATATAACTAGCTGGCTTACCCGGCTCCGCCGTATCCGGACCAAACTTGGCACACATACACTTCGGGCCCCGGCGGGTGTCACAGTCCACTTTTCGTTATCGATCGATGTCGATTTTACCGATTTTTATCGATTTTTTGGCAGAGTTCACCTACAGGGCTAGGAGTTGGCACAGGGGGGAAGTGAGCATGGGGATTCCGAATACAATATTAGTTTTCAGAATTATCGATTGCTTTTATTGATTTTATCGATTTTTTGGCAGAGTTCACCTACAGGGCTAGGAGTTGGCACAGAGGAGGAAGTGAGCATGGGGATTCCGAATACAATATTAGTTTTCAGAATCGTCCATTACTTTTATCGATTTTATCGATTTTTTTGCAAAGTTTGACCTGCGGGGCTGGGAGTTTGCACAGAGGGTAATCGAGCATGCAGATTACGAATACAATATTAGTTTTCAAGATCGTCCATTACTTTTATCGATTTTATCGATTTTTTGAAAATTTGAGCTAGGGGGCTGGAATTTGGCACAGGGGTGTTCGAGCATGCTGATCACCCCCCTTGGGGATGATCAGCATGCTCGATTACCCCCCTGTGCCAACTCCCAGCCCCCTAGCTCAAACTTTGCAAAAAAATCGATAAAATCGATAAAAGTAATCGATAATCCTGAAAACCAATATTGTATTCGGAATCCCCATGCTCGATTACCCCCCTGTGCGAACTCCCAGCCCCGTAGCTCAAACTTTGCAAAAAAATCGATAAAATCGATAAAAGTAACCGATAATCCTGAAAACCAATATTGTATTCGGAATCCCCATGCTCGATTACCCCCCTGTGCCAACTCCCAGCCCCGTAGGTGAACTCAGCAAAAAAATCGATAAAAATCGATAAAATCGATATCGATCGATGACGAAAAGTAGCCTATGACACCCGCCGTGGCCCGTAGTGTATGTGTGCCAAGTTTGGTCCATCGGTTCAGAAATGGAATTTTCTATTCGGAACATACGTACACACAGACAGACAGACATACAGACAGACAGACATACATACAAACAGACATTCAGCTTTATATATAAGATTCAAACTTTGTAGGTGTGTTCGTTTATTTGTTCGTTCGCTATAAAAACGCCCGTCAATGAACGTCCGACCCAGCTGAAACTTTGCAAACATAAAGCTTCTGCATGACGAAGGCGCAATGGCGATATTAGCTGAGTGTGCGCGAACGCGACGCGCGCGTATCCTCACCGCTGTAGATCCCGCACCTCATGCGCTCTGCGGCTAATAAATCCGCGTTTGCGCCCGAAGATATTGCGCCTTCGTCATGCAGCAGCCTATATGTATTCGACTCCAGAGGTGGTTTAGCGCTACTTTTTGCTGCGATTCGTTGAGCCAGCTGTTAATTAAACCAACGCAGCACGACGATGTTTCCAGAATTAAGCGTGCCTTTCCATACTGCATTTAAAGTGTTTGCGAGACATTATGACTTCAAAGATGTGTTGGTGGGTGATTATATATTCATGTCTGAAACTTAGCATCTGGTATGCAAATATCAAAAGCTAGAGCTGCCATTTCCATATCAAGCTCTAGCATTTGATATGGAAATACTATCAAGCTCTGACTTCATTCGAATGATTTATTCATGTTTGAATGCTTCGTTGATTTGCATAATGCTGTTATTTCCGAATCCACGTTTCATGGCAACATCCGATCATATAAATCGTGCATTCAAAAGCATTTCTTGGAGCTTTGTTTGGGTGAGTTTCCCTCTTTTCAGGGCAGCTTTTGGTTGTCTCGAACGACAGCCTTTCCTATATGCTTTACATGAATACTAGGTTGTAACAAAATTAATGCAGGTTTTGAATTCCAACCGCAATGATTCATACACTTCTCATTTCCAATTAGGCTGCAAAGTACCATTCGATAGAGCAAAGCAAGCTCTACAAGACCGCTCTCTTGCTTTTGCAACATTTCGCATCCATCTAGAGTTTCGAGCCAAAAACTAAAAAGATTCAACTGTCCGAAAAATTGAAAAAAATCATAACTTAGTTCATAGAAAACCTACAAAAATTCTAACTTGCTCGCATAAACACTATTCACATAAGATATCTATACACGCCTTAGCCGTATTTTTTTCTCTGTTAGAAATCAAGTAAACGGAAATTTTCGTGCATTTGCCAAAGTGTTGCTGTGCCGTTCCCACATAAGTAGTTGTTTACTACAAATCTGTAGAAGTACAAACGTAAATTTTCAGCTTCCTACAAGCTTTAGTTCTCAAGAAATTTGAATTTTAGCTTGGACCATATGACTAGCGAAAACTGTATTCGATATTTTTCGAAAACTAAAGCTTGTAGAGAGTGAAAATTCACGTTTATACTTTTACAAGCTTGTAGTATACAATTACTTATGTGGGAACGGCACAGCATCACTTTGGCAAACGCACGAAAATTTCCGTTTTCTTGATTTCTAACAGAGAAAATAATACGGCAAAGGCGTGCATAGATATCTTATGTGAATAGTGTTTACGTGAGCAAGTTAGAATTTTTGTAGGTTTTTTATGAACTGAGTTACGATTTTTCTCAATTTTTCGGACAATTGAATCTTTTTAGTTTTTGGCTCGAAACTCGTGGTGGATCAGAGTTGTTGCTAAAGCAAGACTGCTTACCTTGTAGAGCTTGCTTTGCTTTATCGAATGTTACTTTGCAACTTAGTTAGAAATGAGAAATGTATGACTTATTGCGTTTGAAATTCAAAACCTGCATCAATTTTGTTACAACCTAATATTTCCATCGCTCGTGATGAAAAAAAAGTTTTTGAGCTGACAGAAGAAGTGGTAATAAACCCGTCTGTGGTAAGCTTGCGGTTTTTGATGGCAAACTATTGCTTAAACATCACGTAAAAGAATCATAACACGTGGTTTTGTGTGCGTACTTCCAAGATGTTTTACTGGGGCAGAGTTGGCCGAGAGGTTAGAGCCCTTGACTACGGCGAGGAAGGTCACAGGTTCGGTTCCACAGCGGGCCTAATTTCTTTGGCAAAGCTCTGCCCACGAAATCCAGCGTCAGGCTGCTCACCCAATGGAAGCAAGCGACAAGCCGGCTGAAGAAGAAATCCGTCGCATCAAAATGGTCTTTTAATGTCTCATCAAGAATTTCGATTACAAGCTAGGGCGTCCCCCGGAGGGGGACGTGCATTTGAGCCCGACAAATGCGAACAGTAAGTGAGGGTTACCGTCCCAACAAGATGAGCGGGGACGGCCAAAAAAGCTAGTTCATCATCATCACGAGTACAAACGACGAAACAAGTTATCAGATACGCTTCGAGTAGTTACCATCAACGTAGGATCCCTCACAGGGAGACATCGAGAGCCTGCGGATCTTCTCAGAAGACGTAGAGTGGACATCGCCTGCATCCAGGAGACCAGATGGAAAGGTGAAAAGTCGCGCGATCTAGGAGATGGCTTCAAGCTTCTGTATAAAGGCACAAGTAACAGCAGAAACGGTGTAATAGTCGTCTCAGAAAGGTTGAAAGATGGGATCACAGGCGTGGATTGAGTAAGCGACCGACTCATGAGCATCAATCTAGCTGTTGGAATGAAGATTCTGCGAGTAGTCACTGCCTACGCACCTCAAGCAGGTTGCACTGATGAGGAGAAAGACGGATTCTGGCAAGAACTCGACGACTACGTCAGATCGGTACCTTCAGAAGAGAGTTGCTAATTGGAGCAGATCTAAACGGCCACGTAGGAGAACAACGACGTGGGGCAAGTAAATGTCACGGCAATCACGGATATGGGATTCGCAACGTCGAAGAGCGCATTCTGGAGTTCGCTGCTGCCCATAAATTAGCGTTGGCAAACACATACTTCATCAAGAAGGACAACTATCTCGTCACGTATGCCAGCGGAAAGTGGAAATCGCAAATAGACTTCTGGGTTGTACGGGCAAAGAGAGCTCAAATACGTAAAGAACAGCAAAGTTATCCCCAGTGAAGAAGTGCGTACCACAACACCGGCCGCTGATTCCGGATCTAAATATCCCAGTCAAGAGTCGAAGAAAGCCAACAGTGGAGCACAGAATTCGCATAAAGTGGTGGAAGCTTAAAGACAACGCTCAAGCGAAAGCAGCTATGGAGTCAGCTCTACCAGAATTGGAAGATGAACCAGAGCGATCCTGGGCGAAGCTGAAGAACAGCGTTCATCTGATGGCAGGGAATCTACTAGGATGTACGAAACCAGGAAAGCCAAGACTAGATAAGGAAACTTGGTGGTGGAACGAGACCGTCCAATCCGTGATCAAGAGGAAGAAGTTGGCGTACAAGCTGTGGCAGAAAACAAGATGAGAAGACGATCATCAGAATTACTTAGCAGCGAAGCGTGAAGCAAAGAAGAAAGTTAAAGAAGCTAAAGAAGCATATGTGGCGGAGCTGTACAGAAGACTTCATACTCGTGAAGGAGAGCGGGAGATCTATCGGATCGCAAGAAGAAGAACAGACGCTACAAAAGACATGGAGCACTTCTACAACATCAAAGACAATCAGGGAAAAATGCTGAGAACGCCACAAGAGATAAACGAGAGATGGAGAACACACTTCGCAGAGATGGCATCCACGACCCACGAATACGCGTCGACGACGACTGCAGCCGACTTTGTACATGGACCAGACCAGGTACCAGCAATCACGGAAGAGGAAGTCCGCATCGCCATAATGAAGACCATGAACGGCAAGGCGACGGCTCCAGATGACGTCTCCAACGAGTTGTGGAAGGAGTGTGGACAGGCCGGGGTCTCATAGCTAGCACGACTTCTAAACCCAGATAGTAGAACAGAAGACGATGCCACGCGACTCGTATAGAAGTACAACAATACCGATATGGAGGAGACATAGCTGACTGCACTACTTACCGTCCCATCTCATGAGCCACAACACTGAAGATCTTCGAAAGAATAATAGAAACACGACTTCGAAGAATTGTGGAGCTGGCATCCAATCAGTGCGGATTCGTCAAGGAATGCAGTACAACCGACGCCATCCATACCGTCAGAATAATGATGGAAAAAAGCCGAGAAAGCAGTGTGAGTTACATGCAGCACTTCTCGACCTGGAGAAAGCGTTCGATAAAGTACCGCATAACATCATATGGTGGGCGCTGCGGAAGCACATGGTTCCAGAAGAATACGTGCAGTGGATAAAGATGATCTACAGAGATGCGACCAGCCACGTACAAACAGCAGCAGGAGAATCAGAAGACTTCCAGATAAACGCCGGCGTTCATCAAGGATCCGTGCTGTCACCTCTCCTCTTCATCACAGTTGTAGACACGATAGTCAGAAACTTCATACGTCAACCTCCATGGGCAGTGATGTATGCAGATGTCGTGATTCTGATGGCGAGAAGCAGGGATGAATTGAAGGCGGATGTGCAGAAGTGGGAATCTAAACTCGAGCTGCACGGCCTGAAGATCACTGTCGCGAAGACCGAGTACATGGAGCTAGGAGCTCAAACGCCTGGAACCACACAGATTGAAGACGCTCCAATCAAGAAGACTACTACTTTCAAGTACCTAGGAAGCCGCATCTGCGCAGATGGTACGATCTAAGAGATAGCTGCCAGGATAAACGCAGCTTGGTTGAAGTGGAAGAGCCTCACATGAGTCATGTGCGATAGGCGGATGCCACGCAGCTGAAGTCCCAGTTGTACCGTAGTGTGATCCGCCCGACAACTCTATATGGCAGCGAATGTTGGCCGTGTACGCGAAGCGACGAACGTAAAGTCAGTGTGATGGAAACACGCATGCTACGATGGACGGGCCGTCACCATGATCGACTACGTTACCACGATACCATACGCGCAACGATGAAGGTCGCCCCAATAGCTAAGAAGATGCAGGAAAGAAGACTTCGATGGTACGGTCATGTGCAAAGAAGGGAAGAAAGCCATATCTCGAGATCAACCGCAGCAGAAGAAGTACCAGGAAAGAGGCCAAGAGGAAGGCCAAAGCTGAGGTGTTCAGATAAGATCAAAGCGGATCTGAAAGAACTAAAGATCGAAGAAGAGCAAGCCTTAGACCGCGAACTGTGGAAGAGACTTACAAGAGTGGCAGACCAAAAAAAACACTGCTCTCGCGAGGAATTTTGCGAAATCTGAAGCATCTTTTTTGTTTTTTCTTTGTATTTTGTCAGACGTCACCTACTTCGACCATGGCTGTTCGCCGAAAACTGCTTATTTCTCTTACTTTTACAAAAAAGTCATCTCCTTACAATGACTTTAAACTTTTCGTCACAGTATCACATCCAATATGATTCGTTATTTTTCCTTAAATAGTCACTCCCACTGTAGGGCACAGCAAAGCCAGCCCTTAATAAACAGGTAACGCTTGTTTCGGCTTGGCCTCAAATTCGGTATGCAAACTTTTGTGCACGGAAAAAATTAGGATTACCCTAATTTCACGCGTACAAGGCGCACCTTTTTCAATTTTTCAAACAAGCTGCTCAACTGCTTCAATGTGTTTCGGAAAGCGAACCTTAGACCATTCAATTTTCTCAGGCAATACCAGCTCGGTATAGGGTTCTTTGGTAGCGAAGTGTTGTGGCGTGTTTGGGCTGGCGGATTTCAGAAAAAAATCCCCCTCGCCTTGCACGCGTGAAATTAGGGTAATTTCACGAATACTCAGCACGAGGGAAAAATGGTGGATGTTTGGAAGATTGATCCTGCAAAATTTAGGCCGGCTTGCAACTAAAAGCTGATGCATCGCTCACATACTTCTTCTGAATTCAGTTACAAGGGAAAAATGTTTAGTCGAAGTGACCTTCTTAGATGGAAGTATACCATATTGAAGGGCATAAAATGATGGTTCCAAATCTGCCCTCTTTATCTGCAGAGCGTTTTGTACGAGGAGTTACGAGCGCATAATGGAAAAAATTGAGTGTGCAACAAAAATAACCGTAAAACTTTCTCTGCTCTTTAGTAAAGCAGAGACAATTATCACAGCACGTTCTTTGAAAAAAAAAATCAGATAAAAAATTTATTACACTTGGTTGCATTATTTAAGGAGTAGTAAGATTTTAACAGCTCAATTTATCCGAAATGCACATTCAAATTTTCGCTCCAAGCGCCTCATAACTCCTCGTCCATAGACGTTCTGGTTAGGAAGGCAGTTTTTCAAGGAAGGCGGGTTTGGAATTAGCGATTTATGTCCTTCAAAATTACATACATGACATTTGAAAAGCCGCTTTGACTAAACAAGCTTTCCTTGTTAGTTTTATGAGCAACCTTTTTGACTATGTAAATCGCAGATCCTTATACGGATTCTGAAATTCTTCAACATTTTCAAGGAGTTGCTGGTGACGTGAAGCAGACGGTACAATGACTGTTGCGCCTCTCTTTCCAAGCAATGAGTAAGCAAGTTTCCAAAAACCAAATATAGCTGCGAAAAATTTTTTAGCGCATCGATGCAGATCGCAGAAATGAACTTTGGCCTAAATATGCTTCGGCAATCTCCTGCGTCTCAGCAAATGGTAGTGTCTCCACTTTCGGTGATTTTCGCTCTTGCCATGGTCCAGCTAGGAGCAAAAGGACGAACAAAGGCGCAGATCAATCAGCTAATTTCGAATGGTAAGTTATTAAAGTAGCTCCTTATTCAAGAAGAACAGTTTCTATCAAAAAAGGAAAATGCAGCTGATTGTTTTTTACAACAAAAGGACAAAATATAAGAGATTTCACTTTTTAATAATATATCTCTAATTTTCTTGCTCGTTTTGCACAAGTCTTTATCACATCTCCAACTTGATGTTTGCCACTTTACACAAAATCACCTCACGAAATGAATTTACTTCAGACAGTTTTTTTTTCTTTCGAGTCTTGTCTTGACTGTTGAGGAGCCGACGATAGTGCTATCGTAAACTTCTACTCGGATCTTTCAAAAAATATTACCAAGTATTCGAATGGGGCGCAAGCCGAAATAGCAAATGGATTCTTTTTGGAGTAAGTCTCTTGTTTTTTGTTCAGTTGCGATTTGATAAGTTTTATTTAAACGTGAACTTCAAACGAGGAAGTGTATTTACACTTCACTTCACTTACAAAAGGCACTGTTCGGGGGCAAAAATGATTTGAGAGACTTATGACGTCAACTTTTACGCTTCACAAATGCCATAGGCTGGGTGCCATAGGCTACTTTTCGTCATCGATCGATATCGATTTCATCGATTTTATCGATTTTTGTAAAGTTTGACCTGCGGAGCTGGGAGTTTGCACAGGGGGGTAATCGAGCATGCTGATTAAGAATACAATATTAGTTTTTAGGATTGTAAACTACTTTTATCAATTTTATCGATTTTTTGCAAAGTTTGAGCAACGGGGCTGGGAGTTGGCACAGGGGTAATCGAGCATGCTGTTTACTAAAACAGCGGGTATAGTTTTTGGCATGTAGGCATGGGCACAGAGAAAGGTTCGTACGTTAGGTTCGTAGGAATGGGGATAGTGTTCTTTGACATAGTGTTTTGACAGGGCCGGGCGGAGCCGGGTAAGCAAGCTAGTTTATTTGTAGAAATCGGAATCTGAGTTTTTGAAAACTAATAAGCACGTAAGAATTTTAAACTTGAAAGATGGGCAGATTGTGAAGATTTTTGTCCATATTCTGTTACCTAAGCAAGGTAGATGCTGAAAGTGAAGTAAATGATGGTTACGAAAGCAATGCATCTCGTTGCGATCTCGTCGCCTGAACCATCGAATTAGGCGGCGATGAAATCGACGAAATTCTGAGCACTATGCCTTATACCAATGCGCGATCGAGCTTTCGAGCCTATGTAACGGCTTTGTACAACAAGAACAACACCGTAAATCTTACACGCATCTTGAAACACATAAACTCGCGAGCGCAGCGAAAATAAAATACATTCTTGCTTTCCATTCATAACAGATAGATTCAGCACGGCAATTTGACAATGCATTAAGCAAACTCAACTGCAGAATGATATCATGTTTGTCGATATCCCGAATGTTACCTTGAGTTAGCAGTTAGTTCGCATTGGGATGTACGATAACGAATATCTTAGCAATGCATTGTGCATATGCTCCTACGGAACGAATGGAATTGTGCAAAGACAGGCGTAATATACCAGCTGGAGTTAAGCTGTCAGGATTGCTACATAGGAGAGGTGGGTAAAATGCTAGGCATGAGTCTGAAGGAACATCTGACGGGGAAAAGGCGAGAATCACTTACAAGTTGGAGCGACATAAAAGTGAGAAACATGGTAACAATTATAAAGTTGAATGCACTATTTTATCGTATGAGGTTGAGATATGCGCAAGAGAAGACTTGAAGCAGCTTAATAAGTGCGGGAAAACCGAAAATGAATGTTAAAAATGAATGTGTGTCAATCAGCAATGATCTCGTACCTTATCTATCGTTATGTGATCTCACAGTCGGACATAAAAGCCTTGACAAGCTAGGTGACACTCAGTGACGTTTGTTACTAATCATCTGTGCTGGCTTTTTAGAATGGCGTGGATCCAAGGTCGGCTCGTTTTTAAATCTTGTTGATCTCACGCTGCTAACCTGTTTAGACTGGCACGGTGAGGAAAGAGGCTCTTGGCGGTATAATCCCCAGATTCAAATAACCTATCGTCTTCGTTCAGATCTCTAAAGAAGACGAGACTGTCGCAACCGTCAGGTCCAATAAAGATCCACCAGAAACCTGGTCTAGCATAGCACGGCATATATTGACTTTTTGAGTTTGTCTTGCTTGTCTTTACTCTCCTCCTGCAGCAATTGGCGTTGAAGTACGTAGTTCGCGATAACCTCTCGCTGATAGCGCGAATTCATTTTCAGAAAGAGTTCGTACTGACGCAACTTGACGGAGCCGCCAAATGGATCGGTAAACTGCGAAGTCAAACTTAGTCCAACTAGGTTCCGACAGCATACCTCACTAGGGATTATTAGAATGCGGAATACATTGGTAGAACACCAGAATACTGCGTAACATTGATTTATGCAAGCATTGCACGACTTGATTTGGAACATCAGCGGAAAACTTTGAGAAGTTTGGAGATACTTATTGCTTGCTCGATCAGCCACTGCGCGCACATTCTTCCCAAGCCTAAGTGTCTCGGATTCGCGACTTCCTTCAAAGGTCGCCGCCGCCGCCTCGCGAAGGGTCCCAAAACGCCGTCCTCGCGCTGTCCCGCCTCTCACCTCTCTTACCTTCGCAGCATTCGCTTAAGTCACGTAGTCACTCTTCGCAGCTGTCGTCACAGTGAGCGGTCGGGTTCCAATCGTCTCTTGCCATCGATCGATCAGCGCTACCCCATTTCATGCGTCAAGTCTATCAACGCCACGGAGGACTGGCTCCCGCGCAGCGAGGTAACCCCGAGCGCGATCGCGCCTGGCACACGCCGGCGACACCGCCTCGGGGTTTTCCGATATTGCCGACCCCTAGGCTAACATCTGGTCGGTTGTGCTCATTTTGTATGTTTGAGTTTAGGGATTATATGCGGATAAATGGTGGGCATTGTACAGGTGTGATATGTGTATTGGTGCGATGGCCACAGCACGACTGTGGCTCCGGGATATTACCTCATTATGTCGTGTGTATATTTTATAACCATGCCCAGTGGGAAACATCAGTGAGAGGGCTGGCATGATGCTAGCTGAGTGCCAGGGTTATAAGTGCACGCCCCAACCGTCGGTAGTCTTGAGGACGTTCAAGCCGCAGGTGTCAATAACTGCCAAGTAGGCTGGTGGCAAGGGCCACTACGTGTGTAGGGAGTACCCTTGTGGCAGGCCCCAATGAGCATTACACAGGTAGCCACCTCACGGGATACGCTCACTTACTCACGGTGCGGACCCCCGGCTCCCCTCGCCGATGCAGGAGAGCAATTGTACCACTGACGTTGGGAGCTGGGGGCCCAATCCGCGACACTAAGTGAAGATAAGTTGAGCCAATTGATTCAAAGAACTGGTGAGAGTTCATTAAAGACTAAACTGTTTTTACCATCAACCTAGGTTTGCACGCCTATACTTGTGTGATTCAATGTTTCAGAACTTTTGCGCTTTTTTCTCAAGGAAACAGACTTTCTAGAGTCATTTATTAGGTTGTCCCGAAAGTTCGTTCGCACCATTTTCAAAAAATCATAACTTCTTTCCCTCACAATGATTTTGCGCAAGTTAAATTCTTTTAGAAAGCGTAAAGCATGTAATTTCCAAAAGTCCCCTGGAGACTTTCCAGCATGTTCAGGCAGAGATAAAAATGAAAGAACAAAAACATTCGAAATTCGGAGTTTTTGAGCAAAAATTCTAAGATTCTAGAAACTGCACGATAAAATCCAAAAAAGCCATTATTCTAATTTCTCTTATATTTGATTACTAACTGAGTTAAGATTGTGTTGACCGAGCTCTTCTTTCAAAAGTTCTGATTTTTTGAAGAATTTGAAGAAAAATGCCGAAAAAACATTTTTTAGGAATTCTTAAGAAAGTTTTTAGGAATTCTTAAGAAAGTGATTTTTCGGAATTTTTTTCAAAAAATCATAACTTTTGAAAGAAGAGCTCGATCAACACAAATTTAACTCAGTTAGTAATCAAATATAAGAGAAATTAGGATAATGGCTTTTTTGAATTTTATCGTGCAGTTTCTAGATTTTTAGAATTTTTGCTCAAAAATTCCGAATTTCGAATGCTTTTTGTTCTTTCATTTTTATCTCTGCCTGAACATGCTGGAAATTCTCCAGGAGACTCTTGGAAATTACATGCTTTACGCTTTCTAAAAGAATTTAACTTGCACAAAATCATTGTGAGGGAAAGAAGTTATGATTTTTTGAAAATGGTGCGAACGAACTTTCGGGACAACTTAATATCACTCAATTTAAAACTAGGGCCCACGCATTTGCCTTGCATTCGTTGCGGACAAGTCTTCCGTAATGCCGCCGCAATTGCAAAAATGTTTGGGCTTGTATAATAGAATACTCCTCATGATTTGTAAAACATAAAGATGCCACATTTCACATGCCGCAGTCTGGGGCTGACATGTCGAAACATCTCAAAAATATAGTAAGCTATGCCTTGTTAGGCCTCGGACAGACTTTACGCGATTCAGTCGCTACAAGACAACTGCTACGAGTTCATTGCATGCCGATCAGCTTGCATTTCCGTTATGATACTTTTCCAGCTCAAATTTTTTGAATGTAAAATGAAAATGAATGAAAATCGCGGCGATTAAATCGCGACGATGAAATCGCGTGAACTCTATCCGAGGCCTTAGGCCTAAGGCATACCTCCCGCGATTTTAGTCGCCGCGCGATTTAGCGCTGCAACGACTCTCCATAGCTGGTCGTAAACGCACTTTGCTTGGGCCAGACTTGCTGTGTTTGTTACAATCTAGGGAATCTACGCACCCATGCATCTGAGAGCCTCGTATGCTTAATCTCTAGACATCTGGCAAATCGCCAAGTCGCGAGGATGTGGCGATTTTGCGAAATCGCGAGAGGTATGCCTTAGGCCTTAGACGGTTGCAGAGCTAGCTGCTATGCGGATTACTCAAATACTGATCCGCGTAGCAGCTATGTTATGGATGTCCAATCTGCGGCGATGTATAAGAAAGAAAAGGCTGCGCGGAGCGGAGAGAGTAGCGTAGGTAAATCAGTGTGAGCAAAACGGAATGCAACACACCTCCCAGTGCTCTTGACACAACTAGTATTGTAGAAGAAGTCATTATTATTACGGCTGCTGTGTGATTGCATACGCAAGGTCTTTTGATGTCAGGCAGGTAGCGCAGCGCCAACGTCGGAGGCCTGTGTAATAGAAGTCAAAAGTACGAATTCGTATAGAGCTTCGTTTTGCAAGTTGCTCACTTATTTAACTCATCTTAACAAAAAATAAGGAGATTTTCTGGCGCTGAAAAGAAAATTGTACGTAAAGTGATCAAAAAGTAAAGGAAAAAGCAATATATGAAACAACTAATACTTTCAATTGTACCTATTTTATCAGCAATGCCATCGGACGGTTTCTTCCCTAAATAAAAGAAACGATAGGTACAAAGCTACCGAATAGATGAAAACTGTTGAGATAGAAAAATTGAAAAGTCACAGAAGACAAAAGCGCGCACAGAAAAGACTCAGAGCGCAAATGGAATGCAGCTTAAGAATAAAAAGGGAAGATAGCACTCAAACAAACACCACAAGGCTCGTATGCACTGAATCCCTGCGGCGACCCCGTCATGTGGCCGTATTCATCAACGAACCCTGAGGGTTAAGCTAAACCTCCAGGGTTAGTTTAACCCTCAGGGTTCATTGGCCGTATTCATCAACCATAGGCTAGGGTTTACCACGGAACGCGATCTACCCGTATCGATCAACAAACCTGTGGCCGTATTCATCAACCCTGAGGGTTAAACTAACCCTGGAGGGTTAAGGCGTCAGTCACGCGTGCGCTGTGCAAACTCACATCACAGAATGCCTAAGTACGGGCTAAATTCACTTTATACTTCTATTCTTTCACTGATAGTAGTATGTCAAAGAATGGCTTCTAACACTAGTTTTTATAATACATCTCTAGCATACTTGTGCAGCATCGAATCTTACAGCGTGAGTTTAGTTTCATGTGTGCAATTGTGCAGTGTAAGTTTTACTTTTGCGCAGTTCGTTTTATACCAGGCTTGTGCTACTCCTTTAGGGGTCAATGCGTGTTATTATAAAGGGGTATCTCTGTTTTGGCACTTGTCAGAGTGGAATGCCATTTTAGTCTCGTCGCATTCATTTGTCACCAAAGCTAGAATTCTTTTTCTCGCAAAGTCAGTGTTTCATGTACTTCGTATATGAACATAAAACGAAGTCGAAACTAAATACTATAACAACAACCAATACTAAATGCCACAATACTCATTGATCGTTTTCCATAAACTGTTAGATGCGAGTAAACGTTTGTATGAAGTGTCAGGGTAGAGTTAACCTTGCTCTGAGCTAGGGTTAAATTAACCCTGATGAATCACGTAAGTTTAACCCTCCAGGGTTAGTTTAACCCTCACGGTTCGTTGATGAATACGGGTTAATCGCTTTCGGGGTAAAATTAACCCTTAAGGTTAGATTTAACCCTCAGGGTTAAGCCTACCCTGTGTTTCATGAATACGGGTTAAAAGCTTTCCAGGGTTAAACTAACCTTCCAGGGTTAGTTTAACCCTCGGGGTTCGTTGATGAATACGGCCAATGAAGGGGACCCAAGCGAATGCCGCTGCGGCGACCATGCAGAGGATGGTGTAATGGCGTATTCGAGCTCTAATCTCGTACCACGACTCTGCTTGTCTATGCCTGAATACTAACTTACCCAGCTTCATTCATGAAGACAGCTTAGTCGTCAACATGTCGCAACCGTCGCGACTTTTCGTGACGGAACACGACTACTCTGCCGATTCACATACATTGATTTGCGTCAGCAATGAGAAGGAATAGCCGCCTGTTTTTGTCCAAGATGGGCAAGCGAAATTTAGCATAAGTAGCAAGCATTACATCACGACACAAAGAGGTCACTACAGGCGGCCCAAAACTGGAGTAGTTGCTTTGTATTTGCATCAGCACTTATCCGCTATAATTTGCTGTCGGATTACCCAAATTCCATTAATCACACATGTAAACACAATATGTTTGCGTTTTCTAACTACGCTGTTTTCTTACCTTTGTTAATGCTTTCATCACCATTTCTACCATGCGCATCCTTTCTGCTTTATGCTTGTGAAAGGCAAAGGTATAAATGGGCCGGTGGTTTTGAAACGCACTTTCCAGGATTTAGCGCATGGATTGGCAAGCTAGGTTTGGGCTACATTGTAGTTGGGTGGTCGACTACCTAACTCCACCAAAATCCGAGAAGGGTTATCATGCCAATCCGCTGCCTTCAAACTCTAAAGTTGCAAATGCATGATGCTTTTGTAAAACACAGCGAACGTAAGCCTGCACTTCAACTGCATGCATACTTTGTGTGGGATTACGCACGATACAAGCGTATTGGGCATAATTGCTCTGTACAGCTTACATTGCTAGTGCTATACGGATGTGTAGCATTAGTATAGTGTCAAATATACTATTCGGTTCTTTGCAATAGTCTTCACAATTCCATGGGACATTTTATTTTAAAGTTAGCGCAGTTATTTTCACATGTTTGTGAATACATCTAATGATTTAAGTTAATAAGATTCCGCCTCCAATGTGAAGTAGTGTTATAACAGAACGACAATATCTAACATCAACATGTATGTGCCCAAAACCAGAAAATTACATAAAGATGGATATATCATTAGAATTGGTAATTGTATAAATTACTATAAATTTGTTTTCCGCCTTTTGGATGGTGCTCCAACTCTGCATTGTTAACATTCTTCATTAGTGCGACAGTCCAGTATGGAGCTTCGAAGGACAAGCTGACACCCTGAGTTTTATCTTTTTAAAAAACTCGTGTGTATTATGGAATACATGAGCATGTGTATTCCCTATCAACCCTTTACTTTACGTTGTCAAAAGAGTGTAACAATACATGAGTGAAGATTGCATGTAAGAAATATGCGCGTAAAGGCAACACTCACAGCCAAAAAAAAAGACTGCTTTGAATTTGGGAGTCAAAAAGCTCTTGTGACTGTACGCATACCATGAAAAATAGCCAGACTGCTCATTTCAAATCACGTAGTCGATCATCCGAACACTAAGGATGTCGGCCTCTCAGACCAGCAATCTAGAAGAGATTACACCTAACTTATCTCCACTGCCTTAAATTAGAAGAAGTGCACTTTTAACGCAAAGACATGGCGGTTGATTTCACGACGCCTTACTATTAATGTTTGAGATTTCATTTTTTGCTTTTAGCTTAACGCTTTTATCAGTTCAAATTACAATGAAATTGTGAAGTTGCGGTCGTGCAACATCCCTCTTGCAACCGTGTCCATTTCTGCGCTTCTGTAATTGTAAGCTCACATAGAATTGTCTCATAAATTAAATGTTCCGACTGATTGGGATCCTTTAGCTTCTCGTGTACTTCCACTGAGAACAGTCAGGTGAGTTTGGATTGTAAACTTTTTAAAGGCATCACTATCAAATTACTCGGACTGTTCTCAATGATTCGTTGAGATAGAGTGTGAACTAAAATCACGAGAAATTGGTGTGAGGAGAGAAAAATTGTTCCATGCATATATGTAAGAGCTAATGTTGGACAAAGGCGCGAAAGTGATTCAAAGCAGTAGCGGATCTTCACCATCAAACGCCTTGCGCCTTCGCTTTGCGGCTAATAAAACCGCTTTCGCACCCTTAGGCATGCGCATTCGTCCGGCCATACCTATGAACTTTACTCATACACTACTTCAACAAATGTAATGGTAGCAACATTATTCCATAATTATCACCTGCGTGGCTCCAAAGTGAAAACAAGGATTTAAAAAGAAGTCAGACTCATTTGAGTACAAACAGTGAAATTAACGAAAAATCAATGCAAAGATTGACACCAGGTATTATTGTAAGCTGCAGCGTTTTGAAGCGTCTAAAGCAGCACAACAGGGTAAGATTCTTACTTACAGCCCGTGTTAAGTACTTGCGCGAATTTGTTGGGAAGCTTACAAGCTAGGACCACTAGGACCCATCAGAATATCCATGCTTCATCGTTCGGGCCCTTATTTTTCTAATTTCTAAGACGTTCCGTTCTTTGTTAGACGCAGAACTTAAGCGGTTTGATTCGACTACAACAGGAAAAGCAACGTAATTGACATACTATTGATATTACAATCTGACCGACAAATCAAATTACACGCAAACAACCATTGAAGAATCCAAAAATGACATTTGAAATTATAAGTCAAAGCTTTTTTTGTATGGAATCACGACCACTGAAACGGCAGCCATTAGCCAGTTTATCCAAGATTCGAAGCTTATTGCAGTTAATTGCACTTGCACAGGACAGGCCCATTTTGTAGGACGAAGATGCCATACAAACATGCACATAAAGACACGCGCCCAGACAAATAGATGCTAAGCTTAGTACATTAGAAATCAGTGTTAGGTTGCACTAGAAGGATTAAAAGCATCATTTGAGCTTTAAAACATAGCCTTTTTTAGCAAGAAGTTTTCGATCAAAGATGATTATGCAAGCACAATAACTAAAAGATATGCGGCAAAAATAGAGGCTCTCACTTTTGGACAGCCCGAAAAAGCAGCTAAGGTATTGGCGATGTTAGTATAGTTGAGGAAGAACTAGGATTTTGATTAAGGTTATTGATGACTTTGTCAGTACAACAACAGAAGGAAAGATCAAAAATATCATAAATGAGGATGCACTGAATGGTGTGTTTTTTAAATGCTCTCCCACTTTTCTTTATGCTTGCATATTTAGGTGCATGCTCGCTTATTGTAAATGCTGTTTACTTCAAAGCCGATTGGCAGAACAAGTTTGATATCTACGATACAAGAAGAGAGATCTTTTATCATTCTGAGAAAAAGCAAGAAATGGTCGAATTTAGCGCATTTGCTCCATACAATACTGGTTTACAGCATTCAGACAACTATTTCAGATAAAGTTCATGACGCAAGACGATGAATATCGTTTATATGCCGAAAACAACGATGTTCAGCTGCTGTCGTTACCTTACAAGGACAAATCTTATGCCTTCAATATACTTCTGCCCAAGAAAAGGTGACTTTTTTGCAATTTGAATCTTGAGTGAGGGTATATCTCGCTTTGAGCCATTTTAGATTTGGTCTGGAGGATCTCAGAACACAGTTGAATGGGCTCATGATTCGAAATCTGCTCTTACAACTTAAACCTGAGCTTTTAATGGTTGGTGAATCGACAAGTTTGATATTGAGATCCAAAAATTAATTTAGATACGCATTCCAAAAATGAAAATAGAGACCAACTACAAGTTAAAAGAAGCGCTTGAGCAAATGGGAATCACTGATCTTTTCACAAGCCAGGCCAATCTAACAGGGATTTCAGACCTACCTCTGTATCCTCTGTATGTATCCAAAGCAGCTCATAGAGCTCTAATTGAGGTAGGTTCAAAAGACTAATGAGAACGTTCACTTGTGCTCTCAGATCCGTATGTACTCCTTATCCTGAGGGAAGATTCCATATGATTTATCTATTTTTGAAGAATCAGAGTTTTCGCTGCGGTTGCTTCTTTGATTTAAAGGCACCGTCCACTCAATATAGTTTCGATGAGATTTTGATGTGCTTAAAAACGGGGCCCTCAACTTCATACCTGCCCAACTCGCGCTGCCAATAGTTGCTTCCAAAGTGAGAAAATTGCTTCGAAATGCTTCGGGTGACGGATTCGCCACGTTGGCCCTAAAACGACATCAACATGAAGTCGAGAATGGTGAACGGTGGCTCTAACCATAAATCTCCTCAATTAAGAACAGGTTTAGAGAAAGTGTGACGCCTGATAGAGCTGTAGTTCACAGTATTTTATGATTTAGAGGTCTCGAGAGGTTTTGACACCCTTCATATAGTCATTCACCTTTGTAGAATAACAACGATAAGGTAGCAAAGAGATAAGTGCAGCAAGGGCGAACGAGTTTCTAAACCAGAAAAAGGAAACTTGGAGTAAAAATTTTCGATAAACCACACCTTGTCGGTGAGGATATAACATTCGCAAAAATCAAGTCCAGACTTTATTTATTTCTCTCAAAAACATAGTCGAGACAGTTGGTATTATACAACTCATTTTCCTCTCTCCTTTCCATCAGCGATAAGACTTTGGAACTTCAGGCGATCTGGTCCAAAGTTCAAAAATGCAGCAAATTATTCCAAATTGTGGCAACCAGTGTAAGGTTTACGGCAGGAGTACGGTAAAAAGAAAAAAAAATTGCGGACTTCTTTAAATCGTTGTAGTTTCAGCTAAAGATTGGCTTAGGGGTTCTTGGTAAGTTTATAACGAAAGTCATCTTCATTTTGCAAGAAAATGCATTTCTTGGTAGGGGCACAAAAATTTTATTGACGAGAAATGAATACGATAGTTGTGCTTAGCAAGATGATTTATTCTGTATTGCAAAGTCACAACAAACTCTGAGATTTCGTTCCCTGGCTATTGAAGGATGTCAGCAACTGCCACTACTTTTCCAGATTAGAGACAATAATTGGCTGACAATAATTCTGCAGTGAATCTGGTTTGATATGATTGGTTCAGGCTGGAATGGCTTGTAGTCCACGAAATTTCCAAACCTGAGTAGCTTTGAAAAATTGCTCAGATTTTTTCTATTCACCGATAATCAAGCAATCTGTGCTCATATGTATCGCATAATGCAATCTACATAACGCCGAAGTTTAAGCACGCTGTTTTCAATGAAAGTAATGTCATGAAGGAGCTTGCAAAAGTTAGTTAACAGCCTAATACAATTTAAAAGGTGACAACTCCCTTTTCTTTCACCAGAGGAACTAGAATAAACAATTTTTGCAAATGGGCATAGAGCTTCGAAATGGAATGAAAACAAAATGCAGAACTCATAACTCATAAGAAGCGAGAGCTAAAATTCTGTTTTACAAGCTTTCCTCCTCGAAGGGGATGTACGTGCATACGGAACTTGAAGGCACTGTTCACTTAAACGAGGGTAGCGAGATTTTATGCAAGATCTAACGGGCTCCTAGTAGTAATCGCCCATTTCCGCTGTATGATTGTGGGAAAATCTTTGAAAAAAGGTAAGTGAAGCAATGGTGACTTCTACATCAACGTGCGTGTGGTTTGAAGATAACTAATGTATCTGGAAATAGCACAAAGTTCTCCTTTCATATGTTTATCATATCTAGCACTTCACATCTATCCTGTAAAACTCGTCATCATCAGATCATCCATTATGAGGCGGAGCCACGAAAGCTAGTCTACATTCATTTCGAGCAATTATGGAAATCTAAACGGCTGTAAGCATTAGCAGTATAGTTCTAAGCCCCGAAACCGGTTGAGTGTAAAAGTGTTTGAAAAAATTCATTTTAATTTCAATTCAAGCTTTAAGAACTAATGCATATAGTAATTTTCATTCTTCAATTCCCCTTTAGGGTTTTCCTTAGCACCGATGCAGCGGAAATGGACGTTAGAGCCTCTGTAAATCAGCGTTAAAATCTAGCTATCCCAATTTGTGTGCGCGGTGCTTCTAACTATCACTTGTAGGTTGATGAAGAGGGAACGACTGCAGCTGCTGTTACTTATTTCGGAGCGAGATTGCTAATGGGACGACTGGTTAGGGAACAAGCCAAAATGTTCAAAGCAGATCATCCTTTCTTATTCATCCTCACCAAGGACAACAATCCCTTCTTTATTGGACAATACGCATAAAAACGCTACATGTATCTAATGGATGAATAAAATAAAAATCGAGCAAAAATTCTTGATTATCGCATTTTTATCTTTGAACTCTAATCAAAGAGTGATACTGAAAAAGTGGGAATGAAAGCAAAGGCCATAACTTGCTCTTCAATTTAAGTGAGTACCAAATTTTTTTCAAGGGTTTTAATTTGTTTATCTTACTTGAAAGAGAAACGCTGATCTCGTATCGTTCGTATACCAGTAAAAAAGATTGAAACTACGCTATAGGTTATTCAATGAAGACATGTCCAGCATAACTGACGCTCTGGAAAACTAAATCTTGACCAAGCAACTGGCCGAAGTAACAAACCTTTTCAAGTAAAAATGTCGGATTGCACTACAGAAGTAAAATTTTATTAACATTTTTGCTTTTTGACTGCATTCAGAAATCATTTTCAACCAGGGAGGGTCACAAAGTCGAACGCTAATTGCTACAAATCTACACGATTAGTGAGACCTTGACACGCTGATTCCAAATCCGCTTTCTCTATCAGCAGAGCGATTTGGTGTAAGAAGCTATGAACACTGAGGCGAAAAAATGTGCTGATAACCGGGAAAAAACAATCGCTACACCCTTCTAAACGTCAACGTCACCGTCAACGAGAAAATGAGAAGTATTTAAGTTCAAGAAGGGCTTTATTTTTCAAAGTACTCTAACACTTGCTACTGTTTCACTAAATATCTAGAGACGCTTTAACGGTTAATTCATACCGGCTATAAATTCCTAATTCAACTACATAAAATTCTCGTAACTTCTTTTCCAGAAGCTCTCTGCAATAGAGCAGATTTGGAAATAGCATTCCGAATTCTCATCAATACTGTTCAGTTTGTGGTGATTGGCCACCTCGACTCTTCGACCCTACCTCAAGTATACAAATGAGCATGTGGAGAAAATAATTAAATATTGCGAAAATGTTGCATCATTTCTTATCTCAAACTTTGCGCGGTACTGTTTACGTACAAGTCTTTCCGCTAATGTTTCGGTGAAGGACTTCGTAATATTGCGAGAGATGCCTGGATTTGGTTTCTTTATTGTCAAATTAGAGGTGATAGAATGTAATCCTACTAGCATGTTGAGCTATTGCGAAATCCGTTGCTTGAAATTCATTACAATGCAGAATTTACAAAATTCATTTTGCGCACTCTATACCTGTGTGCGGAGATCTCTTGGAAAGGCTTCCCGCAATGTCGTTCCATCAAATTTGAGTACAAGTGGTGGAGGGCTCTGAAGGTGACGTTTGGGTGGGAACGTTGCTACAACTAATTAACTATTAACCTGGCTCTGCTTACTGACATACTAACCTATTATATCAACAATACAGATAATTAAGATAGAGGGGAGGTGAAGGTACCAAAAGCGCAACAAAACATGCAAAACAAAAGCTGCGGAGCAAAAACGTTTTTAGCTTTTATGAGACAAACATGTGCATAAGAACTATGAATGAAAACACAACAAGATATCGAGAAATAAGGCCAAGGAGGACTGACAGCAGTTCAAACAGAACTTCTGATATTTACGATGTTTTACAGCCTCAGAGCTTACTTAAAGAAATGCTATTTTTTCCATTATAACACGAGTTTTTGTGATTTTCTAGTGTATGTTATTTAGAAGCTGGAAATTTTACTTGCCTCCTACTCCCAATTGTGTGGTCTGCCCATTTGGTAATGAAGGCGATTGTATGCAGTCGGGGGTCATTTATCTTATAACATGTCTTTCATGCGGAGACACATACATTGGCGAAACAGGGCGCCCACTTTGCTGTCGCGTAAAAGAGCATGTAGATGGTTTGGAAAAGTTAAGAGCAGCTACGCCGTAGGAAAACACCGTGTACTACGTCATAACAATTTTAAGATACAAGTTGCAGTAAGAATCTTGCAGTATGAACCCGAGATCCTCGCTCGCAAAACGTTGGAGGCGTTTTGGATTAATGCCAAAAATCCACAATTGAATAGAAAGGAAGAGTGTACCGCCATCACGCAGGAAATCGCGCCTTAGTTCCTATGCGGATTTGAATATGAGGCCAGGTCATTAAGGCACATATAAAAGAGCTGAGGCGTAGTCTTGTATACAGGTGGTCGTCTGACTTCCGCTTCTGTTATCTGAAGTTAGTATGGTTTTTGTGATTCTGACGGTGTTTTCGCATTTGCTTTCTCTCGAAGAGTATTCTGAGTCTTTTCTTGTCATCTGAAGGAATGGATTGCTTATGATCTCGACTTCCAGGCTCTGAAGAAGGCGAAAGCGCCGGAACCTTAGCCGTCAATAAAGAACTGTAACAATCTTGAAACAACGCTCACACACACACACTGTTTCCACAACTGATGCCAAGATTCAAAACGATCGAACATGGGCAATTATCAGCGATTGTTCTTCATTGTTTGAACTTTTTAGTCGAATTGGATTTTCAACATAACACACCTATGACATTTTGTAGAGCACTGAACAATGATTCCAAACCTACCTTTCTTTTCTCTGCAGAACACTTCTCCAAAATCTAAATTTTCCAAGCTGTGAGTAGCCTAAACTAGCAAAAAGCCACAGACTGCCCCAATCGGGATCAGGCCTACCGTCGGCCAACACTAGGGCTCGGCGCTGCATACGCGCGCTGTCACAAAGAGCGAAGAAATTTAGGAGAGAGCGGGCTAGCTAGCCGTAGACATGACGAGATAACACATACATACATACTCAGACTCCCTCCATGCCAATTTTGACCTGGTTGTGATTGGGGCAAACCGTATATAAACATCTATGCAGATTTGCACATGCTTGTTTTTTCCGTGTAGTCAATATACCTAATATAACCTTTGATTCAACTGGCTTGACCCCATTAGGGCGGGGTTTTGTGATCTAATTAAAACCTCTCGCGCCCGCGACGCACCTGCGTCTCTGTCGCGCGAGTGCTCTCTGATCATTGCCTAGCCTTAATTAGGTCATGAAGCCCCGCCTTTGCCGATGCCAAGCCGGTTGAATCAAATGGTACAGATTAATTAACCTACTTGCAGCTGTTTTTGTACAGCTTCTGACTAATTTTGTGTTACCTATAGCATGACAAACTTTGAAACACTCATGACTTTTACGAAGAGTATTTCCGCAAAAAACGAAAGCAGATTTGGAATCAACGTTTAAAGACGCGTAAATATATAGGGTGTTTGAAAAGTTTGTGGCCTAAAGTACTTCTAATTCGAATTTTGACGCGCTTTTTGTCTTATTGTGCTCATCGGACCTAGATACCATTATTCCAGTGAATTCAAGTTTCTTTGCGGTTTCTTTGATTTTTTATTAGGTTAACACATCAGTATAGCTTTCCAAACTTCTTTCCTTGAAACGCTTGCTATAAAAAAAAAACATAATTCACAGAAAATTTGGCATACCTTCTAAAAGCCCTTTTTTTAAGGTTTCTTAAATGTTCTTTTACTTTGGTAGAAGTAAGTTTAATTTGGTCGTAGAAGTAAGTTCATTTTAAAATATAGTGCCTTGAAAGACAAGAGATCCAGTTTTAGGATTTTTTCATCAAAAAGTCCAGCACCAAAATTTTTATATTTTATCTTTAAAACCTTTGCAAGCGTGCAAAATATGTAAAAACAAATACAATGAAGGTCAGAGACTTGTGCTACAAATACATGTCAAATTGAGACTTCCAAAACTTTTTAAAGTGAAAAATTTCAGCGCAAACTGGTCCCGCGACTGTCTGCTGTGATTCAGCACATGAAAAAATCTTCGTTAGCAAGCTACTGAAGAACTTTTGTTCCATAAAGAAAGTGTAAATCTAGGACAATTTGTAGTAAAAAAAAAAGCCAAAAGCTGTTTTCCCTTTACCTCGTTGAAAAAAAAAAGAGCAAATCAGATAATGCACTCTCCAAGAAGCTGAACAAATTGTTTACTTTCAAGTTTTTTAGAGTATCTTGAGGCAAAAAAATTTTTTTTTCCTTGATTTAGTGGTTTCTAGGTTTGGCAAACACACATAGCAAAAATCGAGTTAGTGTTCATAGTTAAAGTGCTTAAGGGCACAAACTTTTCAAACACCTTTTATATGTCCCGTGGAGAGGCCATTTCGGCTAAAGACTTCCAATAATAGCTTTCTTGATCTCCACGTAGTTTAATCCACAGAATTTTCTAGAACCGAGATAGACCACCGTTTACACCACTGCTATGTGAAATATGATAGCATAAAGGACGACAACGCGTCGAATTGTCAGGTCATTCCAAAAGATCCTTTATGACAAATCTGTTGGCAGCGCAAAACTGAAGATTCTGTGAAGGCTTTTAAAGGCAGCGTCCGGGCAAAAAGTTAGTTTTCAGATCTTATTCGGTCTTATTCACTATGCTGAATCAATCGCTGGAAAGCGCGAAAACGGCGAAAAAAGACTCTCACGGAGGAGGAAAATGAACAGTGGCGGGATCTTTCCCACTTTTTAGCTTTCAGCTTTCGGAGAGATTTTCTTGCTTCCGCTAGCCACCCTGACATCCTGACATCGCCACTGGCTAATTGCGAACGCGTGACTCGGAATCGGAACCAAGAAGATCGCTCCGGAAGTTGGGACCGTGAAATCACAATGGGAAAGACTCCAGACCATAGAGCCTTATTTCGCCTTTTTTGCGTTCTCCAATGTAGATTTCTGGATTCAGCATAGCGAATAGTCCCGGGAGGGAGGACGGAAGGCGGCAATGCGCGCAAAATGCAAGCAGTGGAAATCACCTTACTAACTTTTACAAAATTTTACTTGTGGCATCGAGTCATGTATCTGCCCCACACCCCGAGAAGTTCTGGAAGGCACAAAATATAGGGGTTTTCGCCTTCCGCACCACACCTAACAGGCCTGGGTAAGCACAAAATCTCAAGAGCTGCTTTTTGCTGGACGCTACTTTCAAGGTAAAATAAATACCCATTTTCAGATAAATTGTGCCTTAGAAGTTCTACCTCAAGGTATATTTTACCCCAAGTTTGATAAATACGGCCACTACACGGTTGCGAACAACAAGATTTAAACTCCTGGCTACACAATGTGAGGGCACCAAAACACAGGATTCGA